GCCGTCCGCGCCCGGAACGCCTAGAATTAAGGCCCCCGTACGGGCGCTGCTGCGCCTCACCTCCGATATGCCCAGCTCCGCGATATCCACGCGGGACCGGGCACACCGGAGGGTCTCGGCATATGTGCCGGGGGGGGCACGTGATCGTTACCGCCGCGGTGGGCGGGGGTCTAGCGACTCCCACCCCCCGCTGCGGCACGGTCCCGGCCGTCCCCCCTTCCGTCCTGTTCTTGGCTGCAGGGGTCCTCTCCCTCGCTCCCGCCTATCCCTTCCCCTTCCGCCCAGCGACCGTTGCCCAAGTGGTCGCCGTGGGCGTGGCCGTTGCGGGTAGGGGCGGAACCGTGACCTTGGCCGCACCAGCGGCCGGTTTTGGCCCCTCCTTCTGCCCCTCCCTCCTCAGGCCCTTGTCCGGGGTTGTGGCCCCCTCAGTGGGGCCCTTATCTTGGCCTTGAGCCTTCTTGCTCCTCTTCTTCTTCCTCTTCGGGGATTTTCCCCCTACCAGGGGGGGTCCCCTCCTCACTTCCTGCGTCGGGCCTCCGCCCTCCCTCACCTCTCCCGTCTGCCCGTCCCCCTCCTAGGTGGGGCCGGGAAGGCAAAGGGTAAGGGAGTATGCGGTGTCCCTGGGGTGGTGATAGCGCGCAGGTACAATTGCTCCATCTGAGTAATCGCCTGCTAGAGCCTCTCCACCCGCCGGAGGCTGCTGCTTGCCAGCCCCTCCTCCCTCCTTCCGCGTTGTTTACCATTCTCTCCTCGGCTCATTGAGGTCTCGGGGGGGGGATGGCATCACATCGACCTCCATTCCACCCCCCACCAGAGACGAGCTGGCCCGGATGGCGGCCAATGTTGGGGCCATTAGGCTACTATCTTCAATAGGGGACGTGCCCACGGAGACCTTTCGTGGGGTCGTCCCCTTTTCCTCCCCCATAGGCGAGGTCCCGAAGGACCTCATTAGCCTTGGCGCAGGCTGGGGAGTCTGCTGCTGCGGCGGGGTCCTCTGCATTCCCCGTGGGGGGGTGCGGGAACATCCGCCCATGGATCTTCGGCCAAATACCGACTCCTGCAGCTGCGTCTCTAGATCGGTCACGCTCTTCGCCATCCTCGCATTTTCTTTGCGGAGCACTGCGACTTATTGCCGCAGCGCCCGCACCTCCTCGCTCGCCTCGAGGGTCCCTGCCCCTCCTGTTCTTGTGGCGAACACCGTTGCCGCCACCGAGACAGTTGTTGCCGCTTCCCGCAGGGCCCTCACGTAGGGCCCCTTCAGAGTCTTCGACGTTCCAGCCACCTTCTCCAGCGTAGCTGCCTGCTCCAGAAGCCGCGCAGCAATATCGTTGGAGGGCGCCGCCCTCATCTCCTCGACGAGCTCGTCCTCCTGGGCGATCTTCGTCCAGGTCCGAACCGTTCGAGGCAATGGAGGGCGGGCGGGATCCAAAACGAACAGCTCATCCTGCTGTTCCTCATAGGCCTTCTTGTAGTCCATCGCCTTCTTCTTCTTCACCCACTCATCAGTAGTGATGGGACATCCTACCGCTTTAAGATTTGGAGGTGGCAGTATCTCCTGCCTATCCTCCTCCTCTTCTGCGTCGCCAACATCCTCCGACGTCGAGGGGACCCTGGAAGAATGGGGTAGGTTAGTGTGACCCCCCCTCCCCGCTCTCATCGCGCGCGTCCGCGTCCCAGCTAACGGCTCCGTCGCGCCCCCGCTCGAAGCCGAACAGAAGTCCGACTCCTCGCACTCATCGTCCGAAATATTATAATTTTTTTTGGAAGCCATGGTTATATAAACTTTTCGACTTACGACGGTTCGCCCATCATGGGACCCCTACCGCAGTAGGGGATCTATCCCCGCCGGAATTCGCCCCTAGTAAAAGTACACCGAAGCCGAGAAGCGGTTTATCGGGTGGCCGACCCTATCAGTGCACTGAATGATTCTAAAGAAAAGTGTTACGGGATAGGCCCGCGCCATAGATGATGCAAGAGGTTTAACGTTACCCCTATTGAGTGGGCCTGGCAGATCCGAACCGCCAGGTGACCAAACTTCGGGCTAGACGGTGCTGGGGAAATACCACCCCCAGCAGTGGTATGAGGAAATACGGGCCAGGTAATCCTCCATACCTGCGCCCGGTTACCCCACTTCAACTCCGGAAGAGGCTCCGATCGGAGGAAAGGGAGCGGTTTTCCCACGTTAAACATGTCGGTTCAGGCAGTGTTTCATGCATCTTCCCCGGCAGAGATCAGGTACCAAAGTCACCTTTCCGCCATGGTCGGGGGGCAACTACTCCCCCCTTGGTTAGTTTCCCGGGAATATCCATAGAGGCCGGCCGCAGCCCACACATCCATCCACCACGCATTCATCACCAGGACGAACAAAAACCCCTCACTAGGACACACGCGGACACCACCCACACCCACGCATCCACGCGCACATTCACACTACCTTCCATCCCAGGAAGAGGCCGAAGGGGAAGCGACGCCCCTCCCCCCCAGCCACCGCAAACCATCCCCCCGTCGGGTTTTAAACCGGTCTTTGGGGAGATGGCTGCAGCCGGCATGGGAGGCTCGGAAGCGACTCCGCCGTCTCGTCCCTTCGCGCCCTCTTCGGTCATCGCCCGGCCCCGACCCCGGAATAAGTCCAGGCGGCCCGAGCGATGACGTGGCCGACCGGGCCCGGGAGTTCCGGGACACCGGCCGCCCACCCCCTTATCACTGTGGGACGTCGAGAGCCACACCGCAAGGGTGCCCTCCCGCACACGGAAGCAACTCCCGACCACCACATCCTCCCCACTAAGGATCCAGGGGACCCCAAGCCAGGATGCACGCCCTGAGAAGGACGTCATCCCCAGACTCAAGGTCCCCCTTCACCCCATCCCCCCTTGTGGCTTACTAGGCCACTGATCCCCTCAGGGTGGGAGCACCCACCGAACCACCGGGATGGTAAGCCCCGCCAAAGCAGGGTCATCCCTAACGGTCGTGGTCGACCGGGCGATTGAAGTCAGGGCCGCCTACCCCTATGCGCATCAGGCCAAGGTGCCCGGAGGGAGCGCAACCCCCCTTCTCGTGGTGTCAGCCCTCACGGCAACTTCGGATTACTCGCCTCTGTGTATGTAAGTATGTGTATGTGTGTGTGTATGTATATATGTGTGTGTGTGTATGTGAGTGAGTGAGTGAGACCCTACCCCCCAACCCTCACCTTCCCCCGTAACCCTCCTCCGACCTATGATCCCCATCGCGATATATGTCCCTGTGAGTATGTCAGTGTAATGTGTGTAGATGAAAATGAATGAATGAATAACCCCCCTTCCCGATGGCCCTGAATCGATATTATGTCCCTGGATCAAGTGTCAGTTTAGTGTGTGTATATGATAATGAGTGAATGAATTCAAAATCCCAACCCTTCCCAACCCAACCCGTCCTAACCCGCGTGATTATGATAAGTATATATATGAGTTTGCTTGTGTGTGTGTGTATGTGAATGTGTGTGTGTATGTTTGTATGTCTGTGTATGTTGGTGTGTGGAGTAAGGTAAGTAAGTAGTCGTTTTAATAGTGCCAACAAGTTACATCTTTCTCAATAATGTTCGTATTCGAGCCATTCCTGTATTATAAAGTTTCCTTACAATCCTGTCGCTTCACCTTTGAAGGGAAGTATTTAAGAGGGATATGTTTTTTTTCCTCTGCATATAGACATATGTATACATCTTCATCACTAAGAATAATGGATTAGTGGGGGGAGGGCCGGGCTCTCACAGCCCTCTCTCGCTCTCTTTCGTCTATTTCTTTTTTGAGTAAAACTTCTTCAGCAAATGTATGTAGAGCTTTCCATTTCTCTTTAGAGATACAGATCTCCTTTATTATTTTTGTAACTTGTAAGTCTGGACCAATTTCATCTATTAACTTTTGTCCTTCATTCGACCATGACGAGCATGATTGGACTGTATGTTCAGGTGTGTCCGATTCCATTTCACAAAATGGGCATATTGGTGATTCCACTTTACCTATTCTAAACAGGAATGAGTAGAAACAACCATGCCCAGTTAACAGCTGAGTTATTCTATATGTCAGGTATCCATTGTCTCTTTCCATCCATTGCTGGAAATTTGGAAGTATTGCGTCACGGGTACGCTTCCCAGCAGCATCTTCTCTCTGAGCGTAGATGAACCACTGTCTATACAGTATTATCTTTTCTTCTTTTTTTGATATTTCTTTCCTCTTGCTTAGTCCATATTTCTTGACTTTTTAAATCTTTTATTCGGGAATATACTCTTTTAAAATAAGCAGTATGCAAAGCCGCCGGGGGAATTCTGGCGAGTAATAGCGCTGCGTCTGCAGAAGTTGTCTTATACGCCGCAATTACCCTTATCGCGGTAATTCTTTGTATTCTTCTAAGCTTAGCATTTAATTTCCTATCAAGCAAAGCCTCATTCCAGATTGCCGCTCCATAGTTAATTACTGATGCAATCGTATGGGCGTATAACTTTCTTTTTGCTTCGCAGGGGCCCCGTAAGTTGGGTATTATTCTGCTTAAGGCGTTAATTATCTTTTGTGTCTTCTTTTCAAGATATTCTATATGTACATTGAATTTCCATCTGTAATCTAAAAAAAAATCCCTAGATACTTCATAGATTCTGTAGTTGGGATTTCTTCTCCTCCAATTTGTACACTCCAGATTCCTTGATTCTGTTGCTTCTTATTGAAGACTATTATAGCAGTTTTCTTTTCACTAAGTGAAAGTCCTAATTTATGGATCCGTTTTAGGATCTTACTTAATTGTAACTTAGCTATACAAATTGCTTCTTGTATCTCTGTTGACTTAGTTAGGATGATAGTGTCATCAGCGTACCCAATGACTGTACAATTTTCTTCCAAGGGGGTCCTGAGAACCCAGTCATATGTTATATTCCATAAAACCGGTCCCAGGACCGATCCTTGAGGTACGCCAGCAGTCATTTGTCTCATCTTAGTAGTGCCGTCATTAGTCGGGTATTCGATAAACCTATTATTTAACTAGCTATTAATTATTTTACAAATATAATGTGGGAATCCTTTTTCTATTATAGCCTTTCTAATTTCTTTCCAACGTATGGAATTAAAGGCATTATGTATGTCCAGGCTAATGCCAACTGCAACTTCCCTGCTGTTAAGGGCTTCTGTAATAAAATGTTGTACTTGTGAGAGTGCATCACATGTCGATGTCTGTTTCCGAAAGCCATATTGTCTAGATGACAATTGCGATTCAGGGTGTGAGTCCATCCAAGCATTCAATCGTCCCACTATCACTTTTTCAAAGACCTTCCCTAACTCGCTCAAAAGACAGATGGGGCGGACTTTAGGAGCTCGCATATCCAATGTGCCTTTCGGGATCAGGACTAATAACGCCTTTTTCCTGATATCAGGAAACACTCCAGCTTCCAGACAGATGTTGAAAACTTCTGTCATCTTTTTGAGCATTATCTTGGGGATCTTTCTTAGCAGTATCGCTTTGATTCCGTCTATGCCTGGTGCCTTATTTGTCTTGGCTTTTCTCAGTATGCCTAAGATTTCGCTCTCATTTATAGAGTCATTTCCGCTCCAGACACCATGTGTTTCTTCTGATCCTTCCTTCCAATCTGGATCATGTGAAAACAAGTTACAGATCGTGTCCTGTAATATTTTTTCTTTCAGTATTTCAGTTAGTACCGGTTCAGATCTTCTTAATTTATTTAATACTAGACGGTATGGGAGGCCCCAAGGGTCCCGATTTAAATCCCGGATGAGGTCCTCCCATGCCTTTGTCTTTGCTTTTTTTATCATCAAAGTTAACTTTTTTTTTTGCTTCTCTGTACCTGTCCTCTAGTATTATTAACTCTTCTATCGATTTCTTTCTTTTTCCTTTCTGCCATTTTCTACGCTCTCTGTTGCAGGTATGACATGCCAGCGCTATATCATCACTCCACCAATACATACTACTTTTATGATGGGGTTTAATGTGTGGCATAGCAGCTTCGCATGCATCTGTTATAGTGTCATTTAACCAATTTGCTGCATTGTCTGCGTTTAGGTTTATCTCACCTGTACATAGCCATTCCATCACCTCATTGTACATATCTTCAACTAGCTTTTTAACTGCCCACTTTATGTACTTTTTCTTCACGATATTATTAGTACTAGTAGATTTATTCAGATTAAAGCTGATATACACATGATCTGATAACGTACATTCGTCCATTATATGCCAATTTTGTATTCTAGGATGTAGCCTGTCACTAACCCATGTGAGGTCCACTACTGATGAGACTTGAGGTCGAATGCAAGTGGATTCTTTCCTTTTATTGAGTAGATTTACGCCTTTACTCGCTGCCCATCTGATTAATAATTCACCTCTATGATCGGTGCTATTACTGCCCCACAGGTATGCTTTACTATTGAAATCTCTACCTATAATGTGGTTTACGTTGTCATCGTTTGTTACCTCACCAAGCTCATCAATCAGCTCATCATAGTCCTCATTAGTGCAATTAGGCGAGATATAACATGCCGTTACACAAAAAGATGGCCATTGCACAGTTACAGAGTGTCTACCAGATCTTTTTATGATGCCCGCATTGTGTAGGTGTTCCCTACTCCAATGGATTGCAGCCTTTCCATCTATGCTGCTGGCCCATGTATAGTCATCAGGAATTAGGTATGGTTCCGCAATAATACTTATACCTATTTTTAGACTCTTTATATTGTGCAGATCATGTGCACCTCTGCAGTGATTTAAATTTGTCTGAATAAAACGAATCATTCCAGATCCATTTCTGCATTATTTTCGGACCTCCTTTCCGATTTTTTATTCTCATTGTATATATCTCCATCTGTATCGTCATCTTTGTATATATGTACATTGTTCGTTGTCTCCTTGATATTAGTATTAGTAACTGATTTACGAACAGTAACACCTTTACACATGGATGAGCCTATTCTGTGATTACTGTCCATTTTCAGCTCGGCACATATTATGCAACACGGTTTGTTTCCGCAGGTCTTGGCCTGATGTCCTACCTTCCCACATCGGAAACAATGTGATTTATAGTCTCTCCGATTTACATTTATCTTTGACATGACCTATTCCCCAACAGCGGAAACACTGTAGCGGACGAGCTTGGAGTAATTCCGTTTTCGCAATTGTCCATCCTACCTTAATTTTGCCTTTCTTTGAGATCTTAACCGCTGATTCTATTGGACATTTGATCCAGGCAATTCTAAGTCCTGACTTAGTTACACGAGTACTATTCACTTTAACATCTTCGGGAAGACAATCTCCTTCTTGTGCCGTTACCCATACTATCTCATCCGTAGAGATAGATTCATCAAAACCGATTGATGATTTTAACACTTTTAACACTAATTTACCGGACCAGGCTTCGGAAACCAGGTCCCGCTCCGAGGGTGCGACAACCCAAGACATACCGCCGCCGCCACTGTGGACTACAGTCATAGTCATACGTACTGAAGAGGAATCGAGCAACGATGAAGGACTCCTCCATATTCCTGAAGCGTCCGACAAAGTTATATCACCGTCGTTATCGTCGTAGTCGTCGTCGTCGTTGGACGACGATTCTCCTTGGCAGCCTCGATATCGCGGCCTCAGGAGACCGCTCTCCTCGGGACAGAGCTCGGTCGAGGAGACAGAACCGATTGAAATAAAACCCTGCTCTGTCCGACTGATTAAAATGACGCAGCCACCACCACCACCACCGCCGCCGTCGCCGGTACTTCGCACAAGGCCGTCGTACACAGTACGTCGTCGTCGTAAGAGACTGCAAATGTTGCCGCAACCACCATCACCGGCGCTATCGCCGGTCAGCGTCGACGACATGCAGGACGTGCAGGCGCCACCATCGCCAGCACCACCGCTACCGTCGCCCTCCTCCTCACCGTCCTCGAGAGCGGAAAGCGACGACGATACGTGTTTATCGACACCGTCCCACGTATCGACACCATCCCACCACGCGTTGGATCGGCTCGATCCGACGGTGTTTACCGTGACGGGCGACCAAGAGGCGGAAATATTTAAAAGCAACATCGATTCCATACTGGTGTGCACGACGACTCTGGAACCGTTTGTCTGCAAGGTGCTCATGAATTTCGACAACTGCCCGCGTGTACTACGCAGCGTCAATACAAAATTAACAGTGTATTTAAACCACCGGCAAGATTTTGGCGATTTGCAAGAGCCGGCATTCCGTACCGTTGTCGATAGGATCGATCCGACGCAGACTTGGTTCGAGTTTCAACTCGGTACCATAGACAACAAGCCGCTTTATGTCCTTTTCCAAACTAGAGGACATCCTACGGAGCTGAGAGGCGCGAGGCATCCTCGCGGCGAGGAAACACCACTCCATCGCAGTTGTAGAAGTTTCATCGACACTGTTATCATCCCGGCTGCGACAGACATGTCACTCAACACTCCAACAGCTCGCCATGGCGCGACATTTATAAAATACGAATTAAATCAACGTTTTCGTGTGTTTGCGCAGGACTTTGAAGATTTTGCCGTACGAGTCACCAGAATATTTCGCACTATTGACATCTGCGAAAAGTGCGACATCCATGCCGTGCGTTTTTATACGTGCGAGCATGGATTTAGATTGGAAAAACATTTGGCTCGATTGTATCTGTACAACACGGTGAACGTGTGGCACCTGCATCTCGATATCTTACAGATACACGTGGCGGACAACCTGCGCCCTACGAATAATCCGGTTCTCGTCCGACTAAACAAACACCCGAACGGTTCCTTATCGGATATCTTCGAAAGTGCAATCCACCTCGGCGGAAACAAAAAAATTACACGCTACCGCATAGGGTTTCTGGCTGACTATGGCCACTTTGTCGCCAATCTGTCGCCAGTATGGAACGAACATGCAGTCACCTTCATGCAAATTTATAACTCCGCTGCGAAATTCGCACGACCCTCCAGCTCGGGTGACATAGCTGCGTATCTGATATGTCGAGGATTTTCGGAAATTCAAAAACTCGTACAAGCCAGAAACAATATAGGACAGCGGTTATACAATCTTTTGTCCTATATCGTTCATTACATACAGCACGACTATGAATTGCGCATCGAGGAAGTTGTGACATTGGACTCCCGACGACATAATATTATCGACAGAATGAGAGATTTACAAATCTTCTCCGACTTCTTCGTCAACAGAACGACGAGAAGATTGTTGGATAAAAATCTGCTGGTCAAATTCACAAATTGGCAGTGCTACGTCACCGACACGATAGGCGAAGACTTTAATATTGTCGACGACATTCAACGAGACGTCTTCCTCCACGATAATTACTCGTCGCACGAAGATATAATGCGAGCTATGCGCGCAGAACTTCGCTTAAATTATTTCTCCCATGGAATTAACCATTCGTACTCGTACCACCTCTTGCGCGTTACATTTGTTAACGTGACGGAAGCGCGATCGATCGAGGACGGCATGATGCTGTTACTTCCAGCGATGACAAATGGAGATGAACGAGAAAACCATGTTCCTTTGTATTCACATATCATCCAAACTGGATACATGACAGCGATCCGTCATGTCTACAACATTACTCGAGTGGTACGTACCGACGACGCCTGCGAGTTTCTCATTTGTTTAGCTTCGTGGGCCTATCGCTTCTTTTTCTAAGACGACAACGACAGCATCATCTTTGCCGTGTAAGAATTCCGAAGAAATAGAAGACCTTTCGACTTGGCGGTATTCCAACGAGCGGTCGACGAATGGAGAACACGCGACCGCATCGGAAGGCTAATTGTTGCGAATGCGGTGGAAGCCGATAGATTGACGCGCAATCTTTTTACGCATCCTGTAGTACCTCTCGCACAGGTCGTGATGAGCACCTTCAACCGTAGGCATATCGACGAAATGGTACCACTGCTTCGCGAAATGGTGCAAGAAACATTCCATGTTGTACCTACCAACATGTGGACCGCGGAACACACGAAATCGTCAAACACATGGAGCGTTGTGAGAACAAATACTTACAGACAATTGCCAGACGGGCGATATTTGAATGTCCAGTATTTGCGTCGCGAGCTGGACAGACGCCAAACTCGACAAACTGGAGGGCAACCTAGACGAATCGGAACAACATCGATCCTGGACGATATGCCTTTGGCGGATCGTATAAGAGCGATTGCCCCGCCGACAACATCCGGGCAGAAAAGGGCTCGTAAAAAAAGACAGACGCGAGAGACGAAACAAAAAAAGAGAAGAAAGAGAAGATATAACATAACGAGCGATAGTGACGAGTCGGAAGATCCTGTCTATAATGAACCGCGTCGCTTGGCACGATTGCAAAAATAACCAAGTTCTCCAATGCCTCCGATTGTGACAATTTATTTTTGATTACGACAACTTATTTATTAAATTTATTGATTATATATTTTTCATCTATTTTTTATATATTTTATATTATTTATTTATATATTATATACTTATATATTATTTTTATTATACATTATATATTATATTTTTATATATATTTTATATATATTATATTTTTTTATTATTATATATTTATTTATTATATATTTTTTATATATTTTATATTATTTATTTATATACTATATATTTTTATATTATTTTTATAAATATGGCTCTTTAAAATTTGCCAAGTACGCATATTGCATACTCTATGTGCACAAATATCAGGTTGTTGTGTATATGCAACTTATATTTTACCTTTATAATAGCCACTAGCAATGTCATAGGTACTCCGGTTTTTCATAAATATTTTTCTAAAATTACTGTAATCATTTATACTTTAATTTTTAGTTGTTAGCTCGGAGTAATTACTCATTATTTTTATATAATTTAATTGTATTTACATAATAATGCCAAGTAAATGAAATATCATACGTGATCCTTATATTTATAATTTAATGGAGCAATGATTATAATTTATTATTTTTATAAACGTTTCATAAATAGTTTAATCTTATATTAAACAACACGATAAGAAAACTGACGTCTCCGAGCCACAGCGTATGGTAATGCCTAAAAATTCTTATTAATTGTACGCGATAAATTTATACGAAAATAAGGCATATGCATATATTTTACTTGGTGCATTTATCAAGATATAGATTCTCATTTATGAGAATTCTATGAAACCCTCTTTACCCCCCTGAAGAGACGTAGATGAGAAAAATATCGGGGCGAAGTCGCTGAATCTGCAATTATTTTATATTATTATATATTTTTATAATTATGACACTTTCAAATTTGCCAACTACACATTTTGCATATCGAAGAGACGAGCGGGTCTTCTCTACTCTATGTGGACAAATATTGTAGTTGTGTATGCAACTTATATTTTACATTTGTAATAGCGAGTAGCAATGTGATAAGCGGGGAGAAGCGCAGAATCCCTGTAGTTGTGAATGCAACTTATATTTTACATTTGTAATAGAGAGTAGCAATGTTATGGGCGGGGGGAGGGGCTCAGCTGTCAGGGACAGTTTAAAAGTTATAAACACCCATGTAATTAAAAATGAATTATGTTGGAATTTTTTCCTCGGAAAGTAAGCGTTTCCGACATATGGTCCTAAGGACGAAAGTTGATCTTCTCGTCGAGACGCATCCAAATAATTAAATTAAAAAAAAATTTTAATTTTTGAAATTTCCAAAATTTGACCAAATATTTATGTGTCCAAAACACGTTTCGCGCCATTCTCTATCGATTGAATTTTGACGAATTTTCGCGACCCCGTACACCCTTCTGGGACTGAAAAATTTTTCCCTTCGAGAAATATCTAAAAACCGTCGGATCTCGACCAGACCTTCACGGATGTACTCTACTAATGTGTTCGCGTCGACCTGTATGCATAACTCGAAAATTTTTTTCAAACGGCTGTAACTCGAAAACGCGAAGTCCTGGAACGTCGTATAGAGGAAAGTGTGGGAAAGAGTCGAGTTGCGTCGAATGGCGTTGGTCCCGAGTCTCTAGGACCAATCCCCACCGAGATAAAACGAAAATTAAAAAAAAAAAAAATAAAAATATATCGAAAAATTCATATTTTGGAAAAACACCATAGTGATTCTGAAAGGACTCGAGACGCCCTACAAAAAAGGTCCTATGGTCCGACCTCCCATCTCCGATAGTTTAAAAGTTATAGGAGCCGATATGGTAAAAAAATCAATTTTTGAGGACTAATAACTCGAAAACTAAGCGTTTCCGACATATGGTCATGAGGAACAAAGATGTTCCACTCGTCGAGACGCATCGATACCATAAAATAGCCACTTGTGGTTGCACCTATTGGCGCAAACACCCTAACCCTAACCACACCAAACTCACGTAAAAAAAAAAAAAAAAAAAAAAAAAACCATATCGATTATACACGAAACAGTCAAACTCGACAGCAAACAAGCCGAGATCCTATGTGCACGACCTTTCAAAGAGAACGCGATATCCACTTCCTCGCTCGCTCTCGCTATTCGCCTGTCGGCGGTGCGAATTCTCGTTATGCTCTTTCGGATAGGCCAATTTAATTTTCGAACGGTTTTTATGCCCTCTTCGCCGAGAATTGTGCACGTGGAGCCTGAATCTACAAGCGCTCTTAAGGATTTCTCCCTCTATTTCGATCGTGCAATAGTATAGTGACGGTAGATTTAACGTATTTCCGGGATCGACCATATTATACGACAAGATCATCTCGCGAAGAATTTGAATCGCGGGCCTCTCCTTCAGCCTTCAGAGTCACGACGGCCCGTCCTAACGACTCTCGGTCTCGTTTCCCGAACACGAAGGGCACGTTTTTACGGTGACGTTCGCTTTACCGCATCGATAACAATATTGACGACGAGA